AATTTTCATTTGTTTAAATGTTTTGCGCAGAAGATAATGCAAATATGTTCTGCCCTGGATTCCACACCCCTTAAGGGATTCCAGAGAAGAGCAGAACTTGAAATAAGTTTCCAGAGATTTTGTTTGACTAAAAGGAGAGTTTGGGGAGTATAGCTGTTGTGCTTTAAAAATCAGTGATGTTTTTTATCTTGACTTATGAAATCAAGAAAAACAAATTGTACTTTTGTCATGTATCAGGGATTTGGAAATGTTTATCTTGCAATTTTTATGTTAACATATACAGTTCTGAAGATTAAATGATACAACAATGCAGTTAGCTTATAATTAACTTTTTTCCGTTTTTCAGAAATTGATCACCCATGAGAAGTTTGAAAGTGCGTGTGAAGAACTGAATAATGCATTACTTCGGGAACAACAGGCACAAATGCTATTGAATGAACAGGCGCAACAACTACAGGAGTTGAATTATAGACTTGAATTACATTCCACTGAGGAAGCCGACAAAAACCAAACTCTTGGAGAAGCTGTTAAGGTAGGAAAACATGCCTTGCATAATGGTTTATTTCCTCTAGGTGTGGGTCTTTGAGGGACTCAGGTGAATCTTTTGAATAGGGAAGAGATGCCAAAATATGAAATTTTATTCCATGAGAGCTTATAAGGATGGAATGAAATGTAGTTCTAGGACCTCAATTCCAAGCTTGCATTTAGCTGTGTTGAAAAGTAAAAGTAGGCTTTGCTAGTTGGAAACCAAGTGGAGATTTTTCCAGTAATAATTTTATTCTTTGTTTTACTTAGCTCCTCCTCTCTTTAGTTCTTTTCTTTTTCTTGTTTTATGCCCTCGGAACATTGAAAATCCCTGTATCCTTCAGATTTGGAAGTTACGGGTCTGGGTCTGTCTAATTCTTATGGAAGTGTGAGTTTGAGGAGGAGGTGGGGTTTGGTTAGGAAGAGTTGTTCTCCCTGTCGTTTGTTTGTGGGAAAGGTATTTAGAAGGGGAAAAAGAAGTTCAGTAAAATGGCTGTCATTTAGAAAACTTCGTAACGGTACCTAGGACTATGATACCTTTTGGAAATGTTGGCTATAAAATGTAATTGAATTCTAGTTTTCACTAGCGAGGTTATACACACTGGAATGGAAGAACTAATTTCAGGGAAACCAACATGATACAGCACAGCCTGTGTAGTAGGTATTGTGTGTCATACCTAATACAGTAAGCAACTCAGAGTTGGTATATAATTTATTATACAAATAATATGTATTTATCCTAATAGCTAAATACTGTTATGAATACTAAGAAAACAATCAAAATTTATTGAGAGCTTCCTTGTTTGCCAAGCACTAAATACTATGTTATCTCATAATCCTCACGTAAACGATGGGATTATTTTCATTTTGTAGATGAGAAAACCGAGATACAGAGAGGCACATAACTTGCACAACCATTAGTAAGTTACAAACCTGGGGAATCAGAGTTTACATCTGCTTTCCTAATCACAACATTAAATGTATTGTTGATTGACAGCATACATAGGCCAGGCTCTGTACTGTGTCTCTGTGTGGAATGTTTTGTTTCATTCTTAAACTACCCCTGAGAATAGGCACCATTATTGTTCCCATTCTTTTTTGATGAAATTGAGTGAGTTCAGTGGACTTGCTCAGGGTCTCCCGGCCTATACACGTTGAAACTGGAATTCAGTTTTTAGAAAACTGTATTAAAATGATTAACTTATTTTCTTAGGTTAATTAGGTAGACTTAAATTTGCTTCAGCTTCCTTTTCTTTATTATTACTTTCTTTTTTTCTATTATAAGTAATTCTAAGATAAGCAACCCTATAGCTAAATCTTTATATACATATTATGATTATTTCCTCAGGATTAATTCCTAGTTGAAGAATTACTAGGTCTACAGACACATATGTTTTAAAGTGAATTTAAAATTTAAAGTAAATTTTAAGTTTGCCTATGGAAACTTTTACATTCCTAAAATACATGAGAATTTTACTTTTTACCCAAGCTGATTTTTATGATTAAAAAATTTTTGGCCAATTTGATCAATATATTATTGTTACTCAGATTTATATTTTTTGATTGCTAGTCAAATTGAATATTTTTATAAGTATATTGGTCATTGAACAACATTTTTATGCTTCATGTCCCATTAATAGATAATGTAATTAACCATGCTTTGATAAAGCATTGAACTCACATTGGAGTCTTCTCTTTTTGAAATAGCTTGTAGTTGTGTTTAGGTATAGTATTTTCCAGCAGATACAAAGCTGTTCATATTAATTTCTTTAAAATGCCAGTAGCTTAAATATTGTTCTCAAGAATGGAGAATTGTTTAATTACTGTCTCTTAATTAGAGTGAGCAGGTGGTAATGTGAAAATGCTCTCTTGTGGGAGGCAGCATGGTTCAGTGCAAAAAGCACTGGCCTTGGAATAAGTATTTCCAAATGCAAATCCCAGTACTGTCACTTGGGCAAATAACTTAACCTTTCTGAGCCTCAGTTTCCTCTTCTGCAAAATTAGGGATAATGATACTGAAGTTACAGAATTTTTATGAGAATTAATTAAGATCCTGTTTGAAAAACAAGTATATGCTTGGTGAATATTCTTTTGTGCTTTTCAGTAATACTTTAACAAGTAGCTTTTTGTGTGTGTCCTGTGCATAACTTAATAAAAACTATTGCTGCTTCTTTTTAAAAACAAAATAAGACGAATAGAAGATATGGAAAATATATAGAGAAAACAAGTTACTCATAACTTAGCATCTGAAAACACCACTGTTAACATTTTGTGGCTTTGTTTTTAATCATTTTTCTATCTACAATAGTTTTTATAAATCCTACTTTGGACTTGATGCTCAGAATGGCTTTCCTTTACGATACAGCTAGATTTTGATAAGACATTTTGAGTATTACAGCCGTGCATTAAAGAGTAAAGGAAATCTCTAAGAACAAGTGACACCAGCAAACCCCAGTGAGCTGAAATCAAAGTTAGCACTGTGAATAGTTGCTGGGCTTACCCTGCAGGCAAATACCAAAACCAGTGCTGGAAGTAGGGAACTAAGATTTGGCCTCCAGCAGATTGGGTCTTGAACCCTTGACTCCCCCATTAAGAAATTGCCTAATAACCTGAATGGGATAATCTCTGATCAATAGTGTTTAGACAGAAACTAATATTAAATTTTCTCTGGAAGAAAGCTTGCCTAATTTAGTTCCTTCAAGAGCATCCACAGACTAAGATCAACCAACTAACTGGCACGTGAATAAATATATTAATCTTATATTCATCCACACTGCTAAACTTCTTTGTAAATTCTAATAATGCTTTATCTGTACTTTCTAAAATTTTCTACGTAGGCCATCATTTTATTTGTTCTGTAGTAACAGTTTCGTTTCTCCTTTTCAAACCATAATCCTTTAATTTTTTTCCTCCCCTGCCTTAATGTACTGGCTAGGATATGATGTTGAGTAAAAGTATAATAATTCTATATTATCAGGGTTAAAATATTTTTAAATACACCCCAGGCCTATGCCACACATGAATGTAGGATTTTAGTTATGCTACCTTTAGGTCCAAGGACTGTTCAGCTGGGAAATTATCTTCAGGGTGTCCAATCCTTGTAGAACCAGTGTGACCTTGCAGAAGTAACCTTGAAAATATTCAGTGAGGATGCTTCTGTAGCTCACAGAACACACAAAAGACTTTTATGGAGAATTCAGTATTACAAACCATTGGAAGAAATGAGTTGTACATCAAATGGGAAAGTTTACGCCTGAGGTGGTAGGCATACTCGAAGTATTGGCAGGTACTTTAAAAGATACTTTAAATATTTTTAAAAGTTTTAAGAAATAGCTTATGAATAGATAAAGGACAAGAAATAAAAATATAGTCATTGAAATGAAAAACTCAGTGATTGATTTGAACATCAGAGACATTGATGAAAAGATACTAGCGAATTGAAATTAGCTGAGGAAAAATATACATGGCTCAGTGCATTTTGACAAATGTATACGTGTATAACTACCACCACAATCAAGATATAGGCCATTTATTTTATCACTCAAATTCTCAAATTTCCCTGTGCTCTTTCCCATTCAGCTACCCTTTATACTGGCCCCACCCTCCACTCTAGCCCAGCAGCCAATGATCTGGTATCACTCTAGATTAGATTTGCTTTTATTAGACTTTCACATCAGTGGAATCAGACAATATGTATGTACTCTTTGTGTCTGACTTCTTTCATTTGGTGTAACAGCTTTGAGATTCATCTACACTGTTTCTTTGTATTGTTGAGTTGTATTCCATTATATGAATATACAGAAATTTGGTTATCCGTTCACCTGTTGATAGACATTTAGATTGTTTTCATTTAGGGCTATGATGAATAACACTGCTAAAAACATTCTTGTACAAGTCCCTGGGGTGAGACATGATTTGACTATTCTTGATAATACCTAGGAGTGGAAATGCTGGATTGTATGGTAAGAGTAAGTTTAAATTTTTAAGAAATTGTCAAAGTCTTTTTCCATAAGGGCTGCATGACTTTACATTTCTAACAACAGTGGAAGTAGGTTGCATGGCTTCATATTCTGGCAAATACTTGGTACTGTCAGTCTTTTTAATTTTAATCTGTTCTAGTGGGTGTGTAATGGTATGTTTTTTGGTTTTAATTTGCATTTCACTGATGATTAATAATGTTAAGCATCTGTTAGTATACTTACTATTGTTAGTCACTCATATGCGTTTTTTGTGAAATATGTGTTCCAATCATTTGATATTTAGCTTTGAGTTGTTTGTTTTCCTATTCAGTTGCAAGAATTCTTTCTTTTTTTTGGATACAAGTCCTCTGTCAGAATATTGAGAATATTATTTCTCAGTCAGAATACTGAATTTTCATTTTCTTAACAGTGTCTTTCAAGTAGAAGAGGTTTTAAATTTAGAAGCATTTTAAATGTTACAGTTAATTATTGTCTTTTATCTAAGAAATGTTTACTGTGATGCAGAAAAGATTTTTGCCCGTGTTTTCTTTTAGAAAATTTTTTTTTAGCTTTTACCTTTAGGTCTGTGATTCATTTTGAGTTAATTTTTATGTATAACTTGATGTAAGGGTTGAAGTTTTTTTTTCTTTCCTTATAGATGTTTACTTGTTCCAGTGCCATTTGTTGAAAAGACTGTCCTTTCTCTCTTCAGTTATGTTGGCCCCTATATTGAAAATCACTTGTGTGTGTACGTGTGTGTGTTTACTTATTTGCTTTTGAACTTTATTACTGTTTCAAAAATCTGTCTTTCTTTATGCTCATTCTGTATTGTTTTATTTACTGTGCCTTTATAGGAAGTCTTATAATTCCTATTTTCAAGGTACTGTGGGTATCCCACTTTTTTTTCCCAAAATTGTTTCAGCTATTTTAGGTCCACTGAATTTCCATACAAATTTTAGAATCAGCTTGTCAGTTTTGTGTAAGACATCAAATTTATTGGTATAAGTTACTTTTAATATTTCATTATTATTCTTTTATGTTTTTAGGA